GTTTTGAAGGGGCACATGCACCTCCATGTTTATAGCAGCACTATTGACATTAGCCAAAGTATGGAAAGAGCCCAAATGTCCATCGATGGATGAATGGATAAAGAAGATGTGGTATATATATACAATGGAATATTACTCGGCAATCCAAAAGAATGAAATCCTGCCATTTGCAACACCGTGGATGGAACTGGAGGATATTATGTTAAGTGAAATTAGTCAGAGAAAGACAAATATCATATGACTTCACTCATATGTAGAATTTAAGATATAAAACAGATGAACATAGGAAAGGGAAGCAAAAATAATATAAAAATAGGGAGGAGGACAAAACGTAAGAGACTCTTAAATACAGAGAACAAACTGAGGGTTGCTAGAGGGATTGTGGGTGGGGGGATGAGCTAAATAGGCAAGGGGTATTAGAGAGGACACTTGCTGGGATGAGCACCGGGTGTTCTATGTAGGGGATGAATCACTGGATTCTACTCCTGAAATCATTGCACTATATTCTAACTAACTTCGATGTAAATTTTAAAAAATAAAATAATAAAAATAAAAATAAAAACCCTGCCACATACCAAAAATTCTAAACTTGTGAATCCTAAACCTGTCTAAAATCTGTTATATGAATGCATGGAAGAAAACGAATAAACAAAATAGCTTTTTTTGTCCATTCAATTTCTTTTCTTTTCCCTATCCCCACCGCATTCACCTTGCATTTCCCTACCCTCCCTCCTCCTACACTTAGTTCCTTTAATCATTAATAGCTGGTCATGATTTTTCTGAGCTCTGTCTATGGGGTTCAGCCAGTTCCTTTCAAACCACACACGAGCCAATGGTTAGTGTGTATAATCACATTCCCTGGGAGGAATATTCTGGGAAATAATTCACTTCATCTAACATAATCTCCTTGCCCTGATGTGGAAAGGCCCTTCAAGCTGTGGGTCGAAGGAAGTTCCCAGGAAAGGAGAAAGACTCCTATATAAAGTTGCAGAGAGAGGGAACAGCAGAGAAGCCTCTGAGGGACGTGGGTAAAGCAGAAAACAAGGGGCTCCCGCCTGCTGGGCACACACATCTCTCCTCCACGCCCAGGCTGAGCTTCCTGACAGCAGCTCCTACCCAAGGGCCAGCCTTAATGCCTGACATTCACACACACACACCACAACCACCACCACCTGAGGCCTGCCAACTCATGCAGACACTTTTATTCATTCAATGAGCCAACACTTTGGAGGCCTAATTATGCACCAAGCACTGTACTAGGTATTGAGGATCAAAGTTGAGTAAGCTCAGAGTCCACAAAGATGGCAAACAGACACACACACAGCTTACGGTGCGACACTGGTCTTGTTTCAGCAATGCCACTTGCAGAGTGGACACACAGATGGGTGGGGGAGATGCATCACTGGTGGGCATCACCATCCTACTGTGATGATGGCAGCTGCCCAGAGGATGGAACCCTACCCCCCGTCTGCCAGAAAGCTGGTGCCTGTCCTGACTGCTCGGTCTGCTGGGTCCTACTCCAGCCTTTAAAACGCTACCACATTTG